CTTGCACTGAGCCTTGGGGTACCCATTTCTGGGCTGACAAGTCCTTGTCCACTCAATGAGTCAATAAATCTGTGACTGGCTGAACCAGGATGCAATACAACCTGGAACCTCTTATCACCATCCTGTACCTGGTCACCAGGGAGCTGCCTAGATGAGCAATCCTAATGCAGGTTAACTTCTAAGAAAAGGTCCACACACTTTTGTTACTCAGTCTCATAACTCAAAGTAAGGCCTGTGGACCAAAATCATCAGGATCACAGGGGGAAGCTGCTAGAAATGCACAAGGTCAAGGCTACTGTTGATGGACCTGCCTGACTTTTACAAGGTGCTTTGTGATTCGGATGGGCTTAATGGTTGCCATGAGGCTCTGAAATGGACATTTTTCCTTCTAGAAGCTGGGAGAAAAAGAAAAAGTCTTCTAACTACCACATCCAACCACACCCTGCCCTGCTCTGGCCCTGCACTCACCTGTCCTGCCCACAGTGGACTTGGGGCCCACACGCTGCCCTTCATGGAAGCCGTACAGGTTCATCTTGTACTTGCGCCCGGGCTCCAGGCCCTGCACGGTCACCTCACGCTCCTCACCCCCGACACGCACCAGCTGGGGCCGCCCGTCCCTGTCCTTGTACTGCACGGTGAAGGAGTCAAAGTGGCCCTGGGGGACGGTCCAGGAGAGGCTCAGCGAGTCAGTGGTGGATCCTGTCACTGTCAGCTCCCCCAGGAGGGGCTCCTTGGGGGCCTCTTCCTCCAGAGCTGAGAAAGAGACACAGAGAGAGTGAGGGGACCCCTATGAGGTGTCCATATGTCCTCAGGGAGAAGCACAGCAAAGCATGGCTAAGACTGAGGTTGATTCTTGGGCTGGAGTCCTGCTGGGTCCTCACAAATGTGCCCAGAGCCCCAGATCCAGTGTGGGAACAGGTAGTAGACACTAGAGCATCAAAGCTCTCAAGGCTCAAGCTCAGAGGAAGGGGCAGAGGGGCCACAGACAAGGGCAGGTCTGTGGTCATGAAAAAAACCAGCTCATGGTCATGGTAGAAGGTTGCTCCTTGGAGGCAAGGATTCTGGGGCTTCGTCTGACATAATTTGGACAGGTAAGGAGGGACAGGTCCTTGGAGAGGGACATCATGCTTGGGAGGGTGGAGGGACAGGGTACCCATTTCTGGGCTGACAAGTCCTTGTCCACTCAATGAGTCAATAAATCTGTGACTGGCTGAACCAGGATGCAACACAACCTGGAACCTGTCATCTTCATCCTGGACCTGGTCAACTAGGGAGCTATCCTGATGAGCGACCCTAATGCAGGTTAACTTCTAAGAAAAGGTCCACACACTTTTGTTACTCAGTCTTATGACTCAAAGTAAGGCCTGTGGACCAAAATCAGCATCACATGGGAAAGCTGCTAGAATGCACTTAGCTCAAGGCCAGTGCTGATGGAGCAGCCTGACTTTTACAAGGTGCTGGTGATTTAGATGGGTTTGACATTTGCCGTGAGGCTCTGAAATGGACATTTTTCTTTATAGAAGCTGGGAGAAAAAGAAAAATTCTCCTAACTACCACATCCAACCACACTCTACCCTGGTCCAGGCCTGCACTCACCTGTCTTTCCCACAGTAGACTTGGGGCCCACACGCTGCCCCTCATGGAAGCCATACAGGTTCATCTTGTACTTGCGCCCGGGCTCCAGGCCCTGCACGGTCACCTCACGCTCCTCACCCCCGACGCGCACCAGTTGGGGCCGCCCGTCCCTGTCCTTGTACTGCACGGTGAAGGAGTCAAAGTGGCCCTGGGGGACGGTCCAGGAGAGGCTCAGCGAGTCAGTGGTGGATCCTGTCACTGTCAGCTCCCCCAGGAGGGGCTCCTCGGGGGGCTCTGTGGGGGCCTCTTCCTCTGGAGCTGAGAAGGAGACACAGAGAGAGTGAGGGGAGCCCCTGTGAGGTGTCCATAATGTCCTCAGGGAGAAGCACAGCAAAGCATGGCTAAGACTGAGGTTGATTCTTGGGCTGGAGTCCTGCTGGGTCCTCACAAATGTGCCCAGAGCCCCAGATCCAGTGTGGGAACAGGTAGTAGACACTAGAGCATCAAAGCTCTCAAGGCTCAAGCTCAGAGGAAGGGGCAGAGGGGCCACAGACAAGGGCAGGTCTGTGGTCATGAAAAAAACCAGCTCATGGTCATGGTAGAGAACAGGTGGCGGCCACCAGCATGGGTCACAGCCCAGGAGAAAATGTCAGACCTCAGCGAGCTGTGGACTGATGGCACAGGTACTATGGCCAGCATCACCAGAGACAAAAATGACCCCTCTTTTGAGTCTCCCTCAGACCCTCCACCTTCCACTCACCGGTCACACCCACAGTAAAGACGGGGCCCACTCGCTGGCCATTGTAGAGACCAAACAGGTTAATCTTGTACTCGTGGTCCGGCTCCAGGCCTGAGATGGT